CTCTGACCAGTGTTGTTGTATTGCCTGGTGGTCAACCTGCTGGCGAGCACCAGCAAGCCTAGCGCGCTCCAGCCTGAGTTTCAGAACTGGCCAATTTTCAAGAAAGTATGAAATGCACTTCGGATCTGCTTATGTTCATTCTTGCATTTTCTCAGCCATATATGCATAATTCCCATTTTCTTGCTTTATGTCACTTTTAGTTAAAGCCACCGTTGAAGACAGCTGCTTTCTATGTGATTTACATGTGTTGGTGCATATAATTTTGATATCCTGGATCACTTAGCTCACTTAGTCCAGGGTGACTATTATTTTAGCTTCGAAAAACTACTACTAGATTTGCTGGGTGGCACCAAAAGCGGCCAAAGCATCGCATTTAGAATTTACCTTCGGAAAAGCGAAAAAAATAAGGGGTCGGCTAGACTGACCAGCCAGTTGACTGCCGAACAGTGCAGTTTTAGCATTGGCAACTCTGAAAATTTTACTAGCTGTGCAAAGTAAATCACGATGAAACGACAGTTAATCAAGTAATGAAATTACATTTTTTAAAAGGTGAACAATTTTCAGCTCGATATAGACGATGAAAAAATGTTTTGGGGTTACGGGGATATGCCAGTATCGCAGTGCAGCATGCCATGTCCGCTCGGATATCGCAAGCAGCTCATCAAGGTGTGCAAGCTTGGCACTTCTGAAACAAATCCTGAAACATCTGAGCAACACTAAAAAAAAAATTTATTTTTCGATTTAGGATGAAATATGCTGCTGGGCTTGTGGTAAATGCGAAGATTATGAATTTCTGGCAAATGAGACAACATGCGTGGATTGCGGTGAGGGTTGGTGGCCAACGGCAAATCGTAAAAGCTGCTTTGATTTGGCCCGATCCAACCTGAAATATATGAGATGGTCTTCGTGGTATGTTTTGGCTTTTCTACATTCGTAGATAGAGCATATCCAGCACGCCGCTCCCGAATTTTATTTCAGGTACTCCATAGTGCCTGCTGTATTTGCCGTCATCGGTATTTGCTCAACTATTGCTGTGATTGCTGTCTATTTGAGGTTTGTATAGAAATTTCTAAATGAATTAAAAACACTACTAGCCTGTAATTGGCCGATGCGTAAAATTTTTCCCAAAGGAGGAAATTATAACCAGAAGACTCTTTCTTACTTTCCACATGCTTCGTAAATATCCTGTAACGTAAAATTTGTGCTTACATATACTCATATTATTCGCAGAGCTGCATAAAACTGTGGGAGCCACGATGTGCTGTTACATTGTAGGTACCACGATACGCCGGTGGTGAAAGCATCCGGTCGCGAACTTAGCTATATTATTTTAATATCCATGATAATGTGCTATGCCATGACTTTTGTGCTCATTTCACGACCCACCACGATTAACTGTGCAATTAAAAGGACAGGTAAGTTTTTTTAATGAAATCTGATTTCAAACACATCGGTGAGCAAGTCAAATATAGTATTGACTCTTATTAACAAATTTCATTAAAAAAAAATTGTTTCTATAGTACATAATTAATGCACGTATAGTACACTATATGTACGTATAACACATAATTAAAAGCAAATATCCTATTCCTATGCATAAAATGCGTACATTCTACTCTTGAAAAGATATGTACACACACATGCATATGCATGTGTATATATAATATTATTTGCAAACGACGCTCTTTTATACAGGTATTGGTTTTGCATTTTCTTGCTTATACGCAGCGTTGCTGGTCAAGACGAATCGAATAGCTCGCATATTTTCACATCGTTCTGTGCAGCGGCCAATTTGTATTTCTCCGGTTTCACAGGTGTTCTTAACCGTGATGCTTGCCGGTCTTCAACTCATCGGGTCACTTATATGGCTTTTAATCGTCCCACCTGGTAAATTATTCAGAGCATTTTTTTTTTGTACGTGTGAGTGGAAAATGAAGCGAGGTGTATTGTTTTGGACTTCCGAAACAGTTTGTGGGGATGCACACAATTTTAAACAAACTTTTGTTGATTATTGTGTTTTATTTTGAGGTACGAGGCATTATTATCCGACGCGGGATCAAGTTGTGCTCAAATGCAATGTGCCTGATCATCATTTTCTTTATTCATTAGCTTATGATGCTGCACTCATTGTTTTATGCACCGTTTATGCTATTAAAACTCGTAAAGTGCCAGAAAATTTTAACGAAACACGTTTCATTGGTTTCACAATGTACACTACATGCGTTCTGTGGCTTTCATGGATATTTTTCTTTTTCGGTACGGGTAGTGATTTTCAGGTTCGTTCTTTGACATTGTGATAACCTATTTTACGACATTTTTTGATCGAAATGTGCCTTCAGTGAAGTCCTTTTGAAATGTGTTGGTGTGAATCAAAACACACCTCCGTGGGTAATGATGGCAGAGCAGCGTGAGAGAGAGAGCACAGTTGGGAGTAAATTTCAGCAAGTTATTATTTTAACATGCTGAAGTTTCCATGTCTAGTGGATGTGATCAAGTAAAGTTAAATGGCGGTGTCAGAAGAGCAGGAGCGGTTAACGCGATATTACTGACTCTCGACAGGTGAATGTGACAGAAACCCTTGCTAACTATAAAGTGCGTGATTTCCGAGATTTACAGTGGAATTTAAGGTAGTAAGAACTTGAGTGTGCTTTGCAGATACAAACGACATCGCTCTGTATGTCGATATCGATGTCTGCCAATGTTGCACTGGCCTGCATATTTTCGCCTAAAATGTGGATAATATTATTTGAAAAACACAAAAATGTACGGAAACAGGATGGCATGTTTTCCAAGAGGTATTGTTTCTTTTTGTAGCTGTCTATCGGCCTAGCCTCTTACTTTCTTCCCCTATGGAATCGGATTTTTCCTTCGCATAATGACTGATGAAAGTATCGTCCAGTAACAGATGGGCACAAAATTATACAACTATTTTGTCCGGCACTAAAACAGGCAAGTTAGGAAAAGATTCTAAGCAGACACAAAACTTCCATCATAAAAAAGGGACTTTTTCAACTGTGTATTGCTGCTAATGCCTGACTGCAATTATACGACTGCCAATAACATGTAGTGATACTCATCGTACGTTTAATTTAGTGATTATTTAATGAATTTGTGCAAATGAAATGCATTATAACGAAATTATTTCTATGTTTTTTTTGTTCATGTGCCCGGATAATTTAGTCCTAGAGCGAAGAAAGTTAAGAAATCCAGTCGTGACCACGTCTCCTGTTTAAACCAACTCACATATTTCTTAGTTTCCTGACCTTTGGCAATTAATAGAAGACCAGGCAAATTTCTGGAGGAAAAACCAAAAAAGATATCCGCTAATGATTTTAAGGCAAAAAGACTAAAATCGTGCTTCAATTTAGTCTTTCTCGTTTTCAGGTCTAAATTCCGGCCGTGTGGCCAATAAGGCAACAAAATTTTGATGAATTAATTCTTTAAATTGTTCGGGAGGACGGAAACTAGTTCTTAGTTTGCCCATATCTAAATTTATCACTTTAGGACTAGATTCAGGCTAATTTTACAGATTTGGGGTAGCTGTACTAAGAACTTGAAATTCTGCTATTTGAAGTTTAAAGGGAAAGAGGTCAAGTTGTTTGTAATTAGCTTTGAAAGTTTGTTGTTTCTTGAACTGTGACGACACATGCAAACACAAGCAAGTCGATTCACTGCATGCAAACATCCCAGGCTTTGGGCTCATGGATTGCCTCGCTCTGGAGTTTCGATAACAAATCATCATGATGAATCTACTTTATATGTTGGCTCATTCAATAGTAAGGCATCTGCCATAGCGTACATCCAGTTGTCCACCTAGCACTCTTCGCCACATGTAAATAGTTTTGTATTCCGAAGAAATTGATTTAATCATTTTCCGGAAATTAAAGTGAAGGTAAAGCCAAATTTTGGTGGAGAGAAAATCGTTGAAAGGCGTTTTGATCAACCAACCTGAGAGGAGTAAAAATTACCTCCGTAGGGTTCTCGCGAGTGTTTTGGTCTCTATTAGATATTGAAATGCGATGGTGGTTTTGAACTTTTTGATGCCGGGCATAATTTCTTGCATATTTATATTGAAGTAATAAGCACCTGCATCCTTTTGCTGTTTTGCCTGGAGTTTTGCTGTGAATTGTTTGTAGGACACGAACACCAGTTCGCATATTAGGAAGGGAAACGCCAACGCAGTATACAGCTCTATTATCGGAACAACGGAGGAGGAATTCGGTGAGAAGCTCGCATTACAGCATATCATCATCCGGACAGGACACATTCTTGTAGAACGAGTGCAGTTCATCAGCAGAGAGCGGTCTTTGAGGTTGTCATCATAGCCAAACTTTAAACATGTTTATTTTTCATTTTTTTTTCCAAAAAAATAAAGCATGATGATACTAACATCCGCTTTTAATAAATCTGCCTCACAATTTACCTCGAAAACTGGCAAAAACACAGACATCGGCTACGAGGCTTTAGTAAGTGGGAGTGGATCACAAGAGCCAATTTTTAATCGAAACAGAGCACATCGGAGGAACTGGAAATAATGAAGACGAGGTGCTTTATTCCTACTGGCGCACATTTATGTACATATATTAGTCACTTGGAAAAAAAGCATGTTTTGTTTGCGGCTCATGCAAATTTCAGCACTCGCCGTAACATGTGTATACTTTAGTAGACGAGGTCTCCGTATTTCATTTTCTCTTTTCTATTTTGTCTCAGTTTACTTTTGTGATATTTTATCTCAATTTACTTTAATTTGCGTGCTTTTACGCCCGGTTGCTTCCCTACTACAGTTTGTTTCATTAGAAGTTTTGTTGAGACCTTGATCGCATGCTGATGATGCCTGATCACAAATTTATGCATCCCTCACTATCCAAACGCCAAGATGGAAATATCAAACACCCGTTTTTACCGCTTTGCTTTATTTTTTCTAAATTACTTGATCATTTTTCCGAGCATTCTTCTCCTTTTTGTCTGCAGATCTCTCCGAGATACCCTAATATTTCAAACTTTTTCAATGAGCCATTTAAATGAAAAGTATGATAAGCGCTATTAAGACTGCTTGGCTGTTAAGCACTCAATACTGTTTGAAAATTTTCCAACTAGTCATGCAGCAAATATGCAGTGAATTCCTCGTTTAGTCCAGTGAAGCACTGTGCAAGCCCTAATAGAATAGTGAATTTACACTTTTCAAACAAAGCTATAAAATCTGACAGTTTTTTCTTGGCCTGTTATTTACTGGAACAGGGTTTATACCCGGGACCATTGAGTTATAAATATCTTTTTTGTCAGGATGCGACAGCGACCTAGTGAACGATCGTGGTCACTGCAAGCCCAGTTCGTGCAAGACCAGGATGGCGCACATCTATCAGTTCGTGAGAGCGAAAGCGTCTAAATTCTGATTGCATTCCGGAAATCACATAAGCAGATAGCTGTCCAACAGCTGGTACTGTTGCCGGAAGAAAAATTCACCACCTTTCAAAATCAGTGTGACGATTGTGTGAAACCAGTTTTGTTAGTGCTGTTTCAGTGAAGTGCAGTTGTTGTTGCCTCATCTGTTTGAGAAAATTTCTACCTTTTGTCAATAAAACTGTAACCTCTGTTATTAGAAAAAAAAAAGCTTAGGCTATAACGCACCAGGCCTGCCAGTGCCACAGTGTTTTTTTGCACCAAATTTGAAGCAATCAGGTGGTTAACTGTATGAATGGTGGCTGCTTTACACTTGCCTTGTGCATTCACTAGCATGAATCATCGTAAGTTTTACATAAAGGAAAATAAATAATTTCCGATTAACAGTCTTTTTTATGCGTTTTTACCTGTACGCAAATTGCAAAAACGCATATTGCAACGACTCTGTCTGTGTGTGTGTGTGTGTGT